CCTGGGTTCTGTGTCTTGCAGAGTCACGATATTCTGGTTTGGGAGCACATTACATTGAGCAGACGGAGAATATCCCACCTGTACCACCACAGTTCTACCTAAGACAGTCACACTGTGCACACGTTTTAAATCTATAATCTATAATCTTAAATATCCTGCACTCACAGCACATAACATATATTGTTCATATCTTTTTGTTTTGAGAGAGGGTGCAATTCCTAGGCTGGCTTCGAACTTGCTAAGAAGCCAAAGGTGACCTTGAACTTCGGATCCTTCTGCCTCCTGGCAAACGAATTGAGGCTTTCCAGCCGAGCCTGTTAGCAGTCGTTCTACCACCTGAGTCTGTTGGTAGGTATAAAAGGAACCCAACTTGTATGTATCTTAAAATACTAATCGCTTCTGAATCAATCGACCATCACAGACCCTGGTCTCCACTCGTGGGCAGAACTAGACCGGTGGTATTTGTTTGCAAACCTCCAGCCTTGGCTGGATATCCCTCCCTCCCACTGCAGGATTTCCAAGGCGGCCCTTGGGACTTGCCTGCTCCGCGCTCTGCTGAAGGCACCCGGGGCGCACTCTACGCGCGCGGCCAGCCTTCTCCAGGCACCCGGGGCGCCCTCTCTTCCTCTGACCCTACCTCCCGCACCTCAGTCCCAGTCCCTAGAGGCTGAATTTTCAACCTTAAGTGCCCTCCCCACCCTCCCAAAGCTCGGACCGGCGAAACTTCGCTCCTGGGCCCTCCCTCCTGACAAGCCCCAGGATGCTTGGTCTCCCCCGGGGTCCAGGGCGCAGGGAGCTGGGGGGAGCCGGGGCGCCGGGCGCCGAGAGCGCTAATGCGGAGCAGGGCGGCCAGGCGGGAGGCTGCCCTCGCGGTGGGTGGTCGGCGGCGCCCGGCCCCGCCCGGGGCCGCACGGCCGGAGCGGGATCTGGTTCCCCGCTCGGGTTACGGCGGGCGCGCTCTCAACCCGGCGGCTGCACTTAAGCAATTACCCAGTGAAAATACCTGGGGCCTGGGGAGTGGGGCGACGCAGGCGCGTGACCTTACAGCCTCCCCCGAAAGCTGGGGATTCCTAGGGCCAGTACTGGGCGCAGATTTGGTTTGAGATGGGGGAGGGGTCTCTAGGGATTAAAATCCATACAGCAGATGACTTCCCAAGAACCCTCCTTCCTTAGGCTGGGAACCTCGGAGTCTTTGACACACCCGCTCCCCCCACCCACCACCCCGCAGTCCGGTCCACAACCTTAAGAAATAGATGTTACAGTTAGCCCAGGATGTAGCACAAAACAGCTTATGTATCCTTACAAGGTTGTAAATTCAAAGGCCCCATCTGAGTCCCCAGGCAGTCTCTCACAGTAGGAGGGGGTGTCAAAACCCGGTTCTTGCAATCAGATGGGATTTGGTCACAGATTTGCAAGATGACAGAGTATGGAATGGCCCTCCCCAGCCCTGTCTGTAAAGGAACTCACTATGTAGACCAGGCTGGCCTCGAACTCACAGAGATCTGCCTGCCTCTGCCGCCCAAGTACTGGGATTAAAAGGTGTGCATCACCACACCCGGCCTGGTTGACATTCTTTGTTTTTATGATGTTCACAGCCCAGAGAAAGGCGGGCAGTGGTTTTCAGAGCCACGAGAGGTGCACCTTGCAAGGGCAGCAGTTATAGGTACATGGCTGTTATCGCACCATCGTCAGCTCCCCAAGAGTCTGGAAAGCCAGATGAGTGTGGGGACACAGGGACGTGCTGCTCTCCTGACCTGTGATGAGTCCTTGGGGGACAGCTGGTTACTTCCCAGTACTGGCCAACCTGAGCCAAGTTCTTCCTGGGCCTCAGTTTCCCCTCCTCAAAAGTGCAGGATGAGGGAGATGGCTCAGAGCCTCTGAGACCTAAGAACCTGGCTCAGGAGACCCCCTCCTTGATAAAATTGAGTTAAACTGAATGGGGGGGTCCTCTAGTCACAGAGCCAAGGGTGCCTGTCTCCTAAGGGACCCCACTGTCACCTCCCAGCCTCAGTGGAGAATGGGGACTGGGGTGAGCCTCAAGCTCCTCCGCTGGCTTTCTTGCAACTGCTGTAGGTCCCACCCTCCCTTGGTCAGGGCAGAGGACTGACTATTGGCCAAGCAGAGACTTCAGCTTCCTCCCCAAGAAAGAAAAGAAACCCCCTCATCACAAAACCTAAGAAGCCCTCTGGGGTAGAGGGAGACAAGGAAGGAAGAAAACTGCGGTGTTTTACCTGTAGTCAGTCTGCAGACCCCCACCTCCCCACACACACTGGAGAAAGCCTAAGAGGTGGGGGCTGCGTGTTCCCTGAACCCCCTGGCTTTGGAGGCACCCTAGGTCTGAGAGAGGAGAGAACCGGGAGCAGACTATGATGACTTTCCAGGGGCCCCAGGGTGTGAGATGCAGTCTGCTGGGGCTCAGCTCTCTGCTAAAGATCAGTTGTAAAGCACCTCCCTGTAAACTACCCTCTGCTTGCTAGAGTCTCTTGATCTGGAGCTGTCAGTAAGCAGAAAGAAAAGAAAAGAAAGAAAAGAAAAGGGAGGAAAGTGGGAGTTTGAGAACGCACGGCATGGGGGTGTGCCCTAGTGCACAGTGGCCCTGTGATGCGTGGGGGGCTACGCGTGGGAGAGGGTGCAGGCTGCAGTGGGTACACTGTGCTCCACCAGGGTGGGCAGGTCGGGGGGGCCCTGAACTGTACAAAAGTCCCCTGAGAGGACGCAGGCAAGTCTGTGGACAGTGCTGCGGGTGTCTGGTAGGGATGCTGGCCAGGCAGACTGCGTCAAGTGGAAGCCAGCCTGCCCGGATCTGTGTGCGGGAACACACAACCACACACACCCTAAGCGCTCTCGGGTCCTTTTCCTCTCTGCGGGGCCGCAGTATCCGCACTCTTGGGGCCTGGTGATTCTCGCCTCCTGCGAACCCGGTCTCTCCAAAGGAAGCCGAGACAGCTCGGCCAGGCCTAACCTAAGTCAGCAAACCTCCAGCTCCTCGCACAGATGTGCCAGGCGCCCCGAAGGCGACAGAGCCTCTTCCACCAAAGCTGAAGGCGCGGGGGGGGGGGGGGGGGGGAGCGAATGGGAGACCTAGAGTCCAGGGAAATCTGAGGCCGGCGGGCTTTGAAGGGGCCGCAGGCCAGCCGGGGAGATCCGCGTACGCCTCTCCCTTGAGCTCACGCTGGGGCGCAGCAGCCCGGCTCCCCGCGCCGACTCGCGAAAACATCGTTCATCACCCTCCTCCCCGCCTGAACCCGGCGGGAGAGGCCGGACCAGCGCTTGGTCTGCGGGAGACCCGCACTCACCTGGGTCCCGGTGCTCGGAGTCCAGCCAGATCGCTCGCGCGCTTCTGCGCTCCAGCCGCACCACCGGGTCGGCGACCCGAGGCGCCCGCATGAGTTCTCTGCGGGCCGCAGCCGCCCTGCCCCGGCCCGCGCTCCCCGCCCGCGCCCGCTGCTTTCCGGAACCCGGCCTGGCGCGCAGTGTCAGGGGCCCCGCGGCGGCGGCAGGCCGAGCCCACAGGGGCAGCAGGCCAACTCCCCCCCGCGCCCGCCGGCTTCTCTATTATTATTAAAGGATCCCCCGGAACGTGTTTACGTTGAGCCTTGTAAACTTCCTGCCAGGGACTTTGCCATC